TTTCTGAGCTTATTCTGGTAGTTGGAATGAGAGAAAATACTCTTTTATGCCCAAGGGTGTAGGATTGGGACATTCCATCCTCAGCAAAGCTTCGGGTTTTACCAAATTTGAAACCCCTCGGGTGGAGTTTCCCTTTCCTACATCCCTTGACATGAAAGAATCTGATATTATTGAACAATCGCAGGTAAAGACAAGAGAGTGAGCTACAAACAATCACATATTGGAAGTATACCAATGTCTTAAGTTACTGTTGGTGCCTTTTCGTGTGGAGTCTGAACTCCGTTTACCTTAGAAAATACAATGATGGAAATTTGTGTATTTACCATTACAGGATTGAATGGCCAGTTGCGCTAAGATGGTCTGCATGTCATCGAAGGAGGGCAGTGTATAGTAAATACCATCCTCCTCCGTGCCAGATATAGCTCGAAGCTCTTCAATGTTGACGTCACCAATTCCGATCGGGATAAGAGTAATTCCTGCCTCTCGTGCCCTGGAAGCTTCGATCTTTGAACGGTGGAGGTACATAGCGGGACTTCCGGTTATAATAATTGCTACCTGGGAGGCGTCGTCCCTGGCAACCCTTCTTCGGAAAGTCTTTGTTCGGATATACCTAAGAGCCTCGCTCATTCGAGATCGTCCAGCTGATTTAGTGACCTTGTTTAAAGATTCTTTCATGCTCTCTGCGTCAGCAAAATCGTCAAGTTCAAATATCCGCTGAATCTGGTCGCTGTAAAGGAATGCCGCAACTCTTGTAGTCTCAGGAGATATGGACATCAGCTCAATCATATTCTTAGCGAAGTCGACTTGCTGGTAAAATTCATTCGTTCGCACATTGTTGGAGGAATCAAAGGCAAAAACTATGTCGGTCTGTCTATCTGAACACACTGTAAATTAACAAAAAAATCACAGGTAAGATTTACGTAAATACAGTTGAAAAGATTTTCTATCAAAACACGGAAACAGCCCTTCAATATCGATAAGTTTATACACTGTAGCCTGATTTAAAATTCAGAACATGCTCCATGATTTCATTTGGGTAAATGTTTAACTTATTTTGTCATGCTTTTTTGAATCAACACTTGAACTTGAACAGTCACACTGGCTGTGGTGGTATCAAATTATGCCACTAGATCATTGGAACTTTCGGTCGAAGGATGACACGAATGGACGTATCTGCCCGAGAAGCCTTTGACAAGCTACTTAATACCATATGAGATAATCCTTATTGACGCCCGACGCCCCGTAAATCGGCTACGTGAGTGTGAAGTCAAATACGATATCAAACAGCTGGAGTAGCATCTGCTTTTGTGAAAATCATTTCACGACCGATTGAGAGAATTCATAATTTGAGCATTAACATATAAAACGTATTGAAATATTACCGCAAACATCTACAGACTTACTCTAACCTAGATGAAATTTGATTACAAGATACATCATTTCATACTTAAAATATTTCAAAAACATTCGCAGTTTTTGATGATATAAAATTAATCAAGAGTCACCAAAATGTAGTGGTTGCCGATGTAACGTAATACTATAACAGATACCTTTCATTATTGTGAACATTCACACATTATAATAAACTTAACAAAATTAAAAGCACTGTTTTTAAATGTCTACTTACCACTGCGTGCTAGCTCTAATACGGAAGTGGTTGTCGTGGTGGGCGTGGTTGTAGTTGTAGTGGGCGTGGTCGTGGCTGTAAATAAAAGCGTAGTGCATATAAATATTTCGAACAGATTTCATTAGTAATTATGAAAATTCAGTTATCACATAGTTTAAATATCGTGATGCTACAGTCTTAATTTTACGTGACGGGTATTGGACTTTTCTTCTGTATTTGTTACAATAATAATACGTTATGTTCAGTTTCCAAACAAATTGGGACAAGAAAATTATGCATACAAATAAAACTTGTACTGATAAATTCGCTAAAAAGACACTGAATCCGTTACAGGAACCCTAGACAACTAGTCCCACAGTTTGAGAAAGCATAACATAACGATGTTCAAACAAATTGTTTTCACCAAGATCATAAATGCTCAATATCTTTCGTATTCTATGTTGCTTCTGAAGATGATATCTATGTATAGGTCGTAGTCTACTCGGATCTCGAACTATCAACAGAGGTTCCCTCGCCTATACATAGACTCCAGACTTAATTTGTACTTTAAGTGCGCAGATCTCCAAAATACGAAAAACTGCAAAACAAATTAAAGGATGGAAAGGCTTGGAAGCAAAACGAGTTGTTGGTGACTTGATATCTTTATAGAAACATATGTAACTACATATACAAACACAGGAGCTAAGTTTTTTTTCTGTGTTGTTACATGAATACCATACTGATTACTCAGCAAACCTTGATCACATTTCAAAGTGGCTTCTCAGATGAAGAAGCATTTCATTATCTGTCTACAGAAATACTCGTTCTCGTTTGTCCACAGGAAGTTGCGGTAAAGCTTGTGGTTTTGACATCTGTGATGCAGACAACATAGAAGGCCTAAACCTCTTCACTGTACATAGAAGAAAGGGAAACTAGAGGTCCCGTGCCTACCAATCTACTTTCCAGAAGCGTCGCAATACTACAGCAATAAATACGAGTTTATGTAACAACAATTAGCATCTGTAAGTGATTGTGTAATTCCGTATGCACTGTAATTGTACACTTATTTCCATAATAAACTCCTGTGTACAATTTGCTGTGCACAGACTGACACACGTGGATGTCAAACAGAATGATTAGCGCAGTTATTTTGATATGCGTACTGATGTAGAGTTTACAGAATAAACCAATACTCCAGTGAGTACAGCCTATCATATTTAACCACATCTACGCCTAACATGCATTACCAATACTCTCTACGACCTCTTGTTGGAACCCCTGTCTACCCCAGCCAGATGACTCGTGAGTGATGATAAGTGATCAGAGAGGAGGAATCCTTAGTTAGTACTAACGAGGGCCTACGAGAGTTTGCAACCAGGAGTGAGTCACAGTCAGGGTAGGTTACTACAAAACCTATTATTTTCACGTGGTTCTTTATTTCGCTCTTCGCGGTCGATACTTTTTCGGAGAAAAAATAAAACCCTTGTAAAACGTTTTGTTACATTTGAGATTAATTACAGCAACTCTCTCTATATGTTTTAGCCGGCCTGTACCAGGTCTTTTCAATTACCCTTAAAAATAATACCTATGATTTTCAATTATAATAGAAATTCGCGAAAAATTGAGTCAACGAAAAAAAAGTCGCTCTGCAGTATGCTACAGTAACAATGAAAAAAGATACTGAGGATTGTCGGCGGTAAAAGGCATCTATAAACCGTGATGTATCGAATTCAACACTTGTGGACATTTTGATTTTCGTGCATTTTCTGTCGGTGTACAAGAAACCTTGCTAGACTGACAGTTTAGTTTTATTGACCACGTGATACTTACTGGTGGGCGTGGTTGTAGTGGTGGTCGGCATGGGTGTGGTCGGCATGGGTGTGGTGGTGGTTGTTGATGTTGTGGTTGTAGGACGAGGGGTAACTGAAAAACACATACAACAATATTTAAACGATATTCATCGATTTGTTGAAAAAATATATTCACCCAACAATTCGAACCTTGAAACGAAAGCTACATTAATTACATTTTTCTTTATATTTTCTCATCACTCAATTTTGAAATGGTTATCATTTTTTTGTTTTGTTACACGTTATATATTTTGTCTGAACCGATCCATTGTTCTGTATTAGAATTTTTAGTAAGTTTAAAGCGTTAGAATATCACTGAAAACACAAACATCGTCCATATTTTCTAAAGATACACTTAATCTACACAAGAAAAAA